AGTCCGGGAGTTGATCTAGCGTTCTCAGCTGGGGCATATTGAGGTTATCGCTCAAGGTGAATGCGGGTAACCAAACGCTGTTTTCCAACGCCTCGTCTCATCCGAAAGAATCTCAAGCAGTCGAGAATTTACATCATGGGAGAGGCGTGGGTTTAAGGAGAGGATGTGTTCCATGCGAATGGGAAGAGGCAGATGACCAGAGCAGGCGAGCCAAAACTGGAGCAGAGAGGGAAGGAACGGCGTGAATGGCTTGACAAGTCGCCCGGGAAGCTCGACCTGGATGCGCTACCAAATCTCTGGCGCTGGATGTGCAACATCTCGCCAATGGCGGCATACTCGAGTGAATAGTAAGGGCGGGCTAGCAAAATGTGCTGACATGGTGGTTGTCCCAAATGAGAAGATACTAGGATAGTCTGGTCCGTCGTTGGTGGCGAGCGAGAATACGACCTGTAGAAGTTCCACTGGCAGCCGGTGAATAATGGCTGGGTTTGAAGTCCAAGTTTACAGATTGATACAAAAGACATTTGAATGAGAAAAGGATAATGCATCATCCGACACTTTTGCTTCATCGCAAGGCACAGAGCAGAAGCCACTTGACGGAGGTTCAGAATGGATCACACGTGACTAGTGTCCTCGCATTGTGGCAGAGAGAATGGAATTCCACCGCGAAACACCCACCTGCTTCAGATAAATCAGTATACCTCGGGCTATATTTTCAAAGGATCCTAGCTGGGGACAAGAGCACTAGCTTCAGATGTTTCAGAGGAACTCAAATTCATGACAGCATCAAGATGCGCGAGAGTTTTGATGGAGTAGCATAGTGCTGGGTGTGATGGTGCATGACGGCATGAAATATGTGAAAAAAAGACTACACAGGACCTTCCGACGACAGCCCTTACTCTGCGTCTACAACAGCGGTTTGGAGGCCCTGGGTGAAAAGAGGTTGTTGTCGAGGACATGAGAAATAGTAGAGAAAGTGTGCATACCTTGAACGAGGTCACAACTACATGGCTGGCATACGTGTAAAGTTTCTCCTTTGCGCCCTCCTCATCATTACGCTTGCCTGTGAAAAATAGATCATCAGCATCATGAACCAAATTGAAAATATACCACGCACGCTCAAGCTTTACTCTTATCCGGTGTGGAACGCTCTTGACACCCCGAGCCCACAATGCCTGGTTAAGCTTGGGGTCCACCCGAACATCGGTGGTGCCCATCGACTTTCGGGCGAAATCGACGACGGATTTTACGGCCCAAGGGGCACGCTTTTTGAAGGAGCGGCCATGCACGAGCTTGTGCAGATGGATGGTGTATTCACGAGTTACAACGTCTTGAAGAGCGGAGCGCTTGCCGCCAGTCTATGATATGATGGTAAAGATCTACCACGGGCGAAGGTTATGATGCAACATACTTTGCCGCTTTTTGTCCTTGCCTACAAAGGATTCGAATCAGCTACTCGGAGGGTAAAACAAATATGTAACTTACCATGTCTTGAGGATGTATAGTGTGACGAGCTCGTCTAGCTGGAACTGCAGATGCTCGCGCTGACTTTGGTTGTGTTTGGTTAGTGTGGTGATGACATAAGGTTTGAGTGGCTGAGGTACTTGATAGTTTTTCGGTTATATCCGAGCCGCGTGATTTGTGCAATGATTCGGAAGCACTTTGCATGTAGATCGAGTGCCAAAAATAGCACAACCTTTATGTCTGGATTCACATGTTGCCTTTGTTCCCTTGTATGTTTTGTTACCATGTACAATTTCTTATAATTTTATATAAAGTCTCTTAAGCTTCGAATCCCCTTGTCCATCTTGTCGTCTTCCTTCACACTCTTTTATTCGATTCACAATGCGCTTTGCCGTCGTCGTTCTTGCTCTTTCCGTCGCTGTCTCGTCCACGTTTGCGGCATTGCTCACACGTCAAAGCCTGCCCAGTATGCCATATTTTTTTATCGTCTTACTACGGTATCTCACAGCTATCAGATTGTGCTGTTTCATGCCTGCAAAATGCTGACTATGGCAACTGTGCTTCCACCGACGACAGCTGTCTTTGCCACAGCCAGGCTTTCATCAACAGCACCACGTCCTGTATTCAGGCATCGTGCACGGGGTCTGACCTCACAAATGCCGAAGCAGCTTCCCAATCGCTTTGTGCCGCAGTGGTATGGCCGTAGATCCTTGTTTTTTGAATGAGTGCTAAAGTGCATGATGTAGGGCGTCACATTGACCGCTAGCAGCGCTACTGCAACGGCTACTAAATCATCCAATGGTACCGCTACCACGTCCACGATCACGATCACGCCTTCGTCAGTCTTTGTATTATTTTGCCGTGATAAAAAATTGAATGAAAACCAGGTCCACCAACGCTGCATTTTCGCGTAGTATTAACACATTCACTGGTGCAGCAGCCTTTGCCATCCTGGCAGCATCGTTATATTGAGATTGCTAGTCATCTCACTATCATTATTCTTTCGCATTCTTTGCCCATTAGGACTTGATAATTCTTGTCACGGCGTTTCGAATTGAGCATTAACTCACGATTACCTTCGATTTCTTGCATACGGTTCGATAAAGGAGGGATTTATGGAATTATATAGCCATCTATGTAGTTGAAACTGCTTGAACGGCATTTTAGGCAATTTATTTGAATTTGTGTGCGCAAGCGCCCAGTCTTACTCGCCTCCGACTCAATTTGAAGTTGAATTTGCGTGCTTCAGACCGTCATCGATTCCACCAAGCTCCAAGGCTGGCCTTCTTCTGCAGATCACAAGAAATTGCCGCCAAGCCTACACCCCTTTTCGCTGGCTGTATCGACGATTGACCCCATTGATCTGTGCGTCTAATATCCCAAGGTCGCACTTTACCGTCTATCTCCTACACCCACCATGCAACCAAACACATTTTGGTTGCAGTTGAAACGAAAACCAACTCCTTTGGCACTTGTGGTTGGGCTGTTACTTGGTTTGCTGATTGGAAAGACATTTCCAACAAGCGTATGTCTGTCTATCCTTTGACCGTCTTACTATCACGACAACGTGCGATTATTTTATAGCTCTTGTCAACGGGCGGGAACAACCCCATATTCGTGTCTCGCTTGTCTGCTCGCAAACAAATAACCTTACCCAACATTGATCAACGTCGTCGTGTCCTAGACCTACTCTCCACGCTGTCTCCGCATCATACCACAGAGTGCACACGAAATTCCCAGCCACTTTACGTTCAACAGGTCCGAGACCGTTATGCCTCTCTCATAGGACACAAAACTCCCTCTGAATCTACCTGGTTCTCTTCCTGGGGGTTTTCCGACTCGCAACACGTACACAACGTTCCAAAGAAAGAGCACAAATATTTCTTCGCCATCAACTTGTACAACTCCTTCGATGTCATTCCTGACTTATTTGCGACTCTTTTTCGGGTCTCTGCTATTTTGGGGTATCACAACGTCTACGTCTCTATATACGAAAATGGCTCGACAGATCAGACAAAGGCACTGCTACGGATATTTGACGCACTGACTCGTAGCGTAGGCCTACGTGTCACCATTCGAACCTCTACACGTACACGAGGTGCCTTCAACCACCGTATAGAGTACCTTGCAGAGGTCCGCAATCAGGCTTTTAACCCACTCCACGAGCTTCGCGACTCGCATAACGAGTATTTCGACACCATCATATTTATGAACGATATCCTCCCATGCGTGGACGACCTGCTTGAGCTTATCTGGCAGAGTCGGCGAAATAATGCAGGTATAACTTGTGCTTCTGACTATATGTACCATCAAGAGCTAGTAAGTCCCGTTATTGCATTCACAACCTGGGCTCATGCCCACTTTTGTATATAGTCCACGCCCGTGTTTTACGATAATTGGGTCGCTCGGGATATCAACGGAACGGCACTGGAAAACGCTCCATTCGAAAACGTCTTCCACGATCCCTACTCCTCCGAGCGTTTCCAGATGCACCTTCCCATACAGGTCCAGTCGTGTTGGAATGGCGTTGCAGTCCTGGACCCCGCTCCATTTTATACACCTCCGTATATCAAATTCCGTATGGCTCGACTCACAGAAGAGGAGTGTTCTGCTTCAGAGTGTAGTTTGATCTGTAATGATTACTGGGAGGCTGGATATGGGCGTATCTTGATGGTGCCGCGGGTGAAGCTTGCGTATGATAAAGTATGCTTTCGGTTGAAGCGGGATCCGATATCTGATTGATCATCGGTTTTTACAGAGAGTATTTGATATCATACATCCTTCAAGACGGAACCTTACTGCTATCCGAGGTTATGTGCGTCTTGGGGGGCTTCCGGACAATCCGCGGACAGATCCACAGGACAGGTCGTGGTATGGGCCTCATGACCGTTTGTTCACGCCGGAGGAAAGCGAAGAGATAGATTTTGTACCTGGGCCTTCGCATGGTACGTGCTACACTCTTTATTATATTCCTCGACTCATGAGTCATACAGTATGGTGTTGGGGTTGGGACGGTGCAGGTGATATAGACGGTCCCGATGTAGATCCCATCTGGGAGCGCATGCCCGACCGTTCTCAGTATGCGGATTCTGTGAAGGTGAAGCATCACAGGGAGATGAGCGAGCTATGATGCGTTCGGACATTCGGACATGACAATGATAATATGAACTCCATCTGAGTAGCATAATTTGTTAATAGCGTCAGGCTTATTTGGTTTGCATGATGTATCCCTACGGAGCCATGTGCGCTAGAGATGCTATACGATTCTGTGGAATTTCAAAGGTGCTTCTCCCCACTGCAGTTGGCTTGCTAGTTGTCATGACCTTTCCTGATCTGAGTAGAACACCAGATGTCACCCCATAAGTTTAGCTTCAGTCAATGTTAACATGGTTAAGCCACGGGAGTAAGGTTCGATCACGTCAATGTCAGATGGCGAACTGATTCCAGCAAAATATTCAGGGCAGGCCCATCAGGGGGCAATTGTCCTTAGATAGAGTATCCTGTTTGAAACGTCATGCAAGCTGTATCGATGTGGAGGGCACTTGGCACAGTTGGTAGCGCGCACGCTTCGCATATAGATTGCGTGAGGTCGTGGGTTCAACTCCCACAGTGTCCATTATTTTGTCTCCGTCCCTAATAACCTTGAATTACGCGGAGTTAAGCATCTTTTGCTTCGTATTTCGGCAGCCTCGACGGTACTTTTCTCTTTTTTGCCTCGACGGTTTTATGCAACGACGCTCAGGCTCTGGGAAGGGTTTAGCGCGCATCTCCCCTCCCAATCATCGATTGACAGGCATGGGCCCAGATGCTACTAAACACATGAACAGGTGGAATCAAAGGGTACTAGGCGTCACCAATAGAATATGGGCCATCATCCTTGGATTCGTCCTACTTATCGCGCTCTCGCGGATTGTGTCCTTTTCAACTCATTCGAACGCTGGGTCATTTACAACAGAAGGCCTCGTACCCAAGAATTACTTGCATGAGGCGAACTACCTTATCGGCAATTCGTCCGAAGCTGCAAATCCGTTTGACTTTTGTCCTGTGTTTGGGCCTGGAGATGATATTGCTAAGAAGTATGGATTAGTGCCGTTGGCGCAGAGCCGGTTGCATTTGGGGAGTGGAGGGAGGGTGCATCGGGTCATTCACAAAGCGCTATTGGGTCAACCTGTGACTATCAGTGTGCTTGGTGGTTCTGGTGCGCGTTCTTTATGTCGTAAAAGAATTTATCTTGATGGTGTAATTGTGTAGTATCTGCTTGTCATGCAGCAGGAGATGATCCATTGTCTTCCAGATGCTATCCTTCGCGCTTTTTCCAGTGGTGGTCGAGCGTTTTCCCTCACCCTGCTTCAGAGCTTACCAACGGTGCTATGAGGCGAACAAATTCAGGCTACTTTGGATTCTGTAGCTCGCATCATATCCCAGAGTACACTGACTTGGTGATACTTGAATTTGACGTGGACGATGACGGGTAAGCACAGTTCTTTAGTTGACGTGTTATATGGTGTCTAAATTCTCCCAGCTCCCAGCGTGCGATGGACCACTTCGAGTTGCTGGTTCGCTCAATATTGGACCGCCCTGATCAACCTGCAGTCATCATTCTGGGGCATTTTAGTGCACAAACACACCAGGTATATGGTTTTGCAGGACCTGATCACTGGCACAATGTTGTTGCACAGTTCTATGACGTGCCACATATTAGGTACAATCTCATCGTCTGTCAAAAGAATACTTTCTGACGCCCATGTAAAGCGTCAAACCTATACTATATCCATCTTACATGTCAAACCCTGAGCTCATCAAGCCTTACTTTGCGGACCCCATTCTTGCGACTCCGACAGGCCACGAACTTCTCACCGACGTTCTCGTGTCGTACTTCCAATCTCAGATATGTTCCGCGTGGTCAACGGCGGGTGGCCACTCGTACGAGACCATTCCTATCTTGATGTCACATGGCTACCTCCCAGGTGCGGATACGCATCTCTTTGGCGGCATCGGTGCAAGGAAAGGTGCTGCGGTGCCTGAACCACCGCGTCCGGTAGATGACGGTGCAGAAGCCGAGAAGAAACACGCACTAGCTCTTGCCCAAGCAGAATCCCAGCCTGTACCAATCTACCCCGAATTGCGAATTCCTCCTGTTCGAATTAATACGCGTCCTAGAGAGCCGCGGCCATTCGAAGAGGTAGCGCCATTCTGTGCGTCTGCCAACGACCTCGTGAACCCCGTACCTCCGTCGCTTTTCTACGGGTCTGGTTGGGCAGCAGCGCATCCTCCTGCAGGATCCTCTCCTTTGCTTACGGCTGGATATTATTGGTATAGCTCGCTGCCCACAAGCAGATTGCGCGTACCTATCAAAGTAGGCGCTGGAGATGTCGGGATTTATTTCTTGAGGGAGCCTATGAGCCGGATTGGGGAAGGAAGTGAGATTGAATGTTGGGTGGATGATAATTTTGGAGGTGCAGTGATCATAGAAAATGCAGGAGACGTTAGTGATGGGGTACCAACGTGAGTGTCCTGCTTTATCTTCTTCGTATGCGGTCATTGATGGATCATCAAGTCTTGCGGTGATTGATCAATTTGTCACGAGAGGATCGCACTTTATTGAGTGCGTACTACTTGGAGAGGAGGGGCAAAGTGTTCCTCCTTTCAAGATCATTGGCGTATTCGCGACGTAGAACATCGTCGAAAATGAGGCATAATAATGGACATACCTATGGACGCTAATGCTGGTGTCGCCAGATGGTAGCGATTAGCAGTTACCTATCATCGGAGACCTCAAGATGATTGTACTATTGAACACTGACAATCCGGCTGACGAGCTTTCTTAACATATAATTGAGGAAATTACTGGTGGCAGACTGCTTTGAATTGGTGTTTCTAATACAGTAAGTAGGGTGACTATGTTCGAAGCCATGCCGTCTTCGCGATCTTCTTTAATCTCTTCTGTTCCTTGAAACGCTCCTGTAAAATGAAAATCAACACGCGATATGAACGGAATCTATGTCTAATCTTACCAGGTCTTTCTTCGTCGGACGTTTTCTCTTCTTGCCTTCTCCCTCAGCCTCGGCCTCAATCTCAGCCTTGTTGCGAGCCTCAACATCCCTCTCCCAAGCACCAACGTCAAAGTAAAACTCGCTCATGCGCTTAGCACGCTCATACTCTGACAAGTGGGTAGGATCGCGACTATCCACCTTCGCAAAAGCTCCAGTCCTCGAGTTGAACTTTGCGGTGTACATAAAATTGCTGGGAACACCAGACGAGGAAGCAAGCGACGGATCGAGATGGGCTAAGGATGGATCAATACCCTGTGCCATCGCGTTTGCTTGCAGCGTTGCGTAGTGAGAATCTATTGATGTGGAAGGGCCAGATTGGGAGGTGGAAGACAAGGAAGGTTCTGATTCAGAGGTAGCAGGTTGAAGAGGGTTTACCCAAGTCGTTTCTTTGGTTTCCGAGTTGTAGAAATAATAGGTGTTGTGCTCAGGAGACCATATGGCTTGCCACGATCCCGCTGTTGGGAGGGAAGCATGAGCAGTTGTGGTGTCCTGGTCTGTATCTGAAGGTTCAGCAGACTCCTCTGGGGAGGTTGACTCGCCAGTAGACTCGGGTGTCGCCTCCGTGCGCTGCTCAACCTTCTCTTTATCTTCCGCCTCCGTAGGACTAGCTGAACGAGAAGCCGACATGAGAGTTGGAGATCAAAGTCAGGTGAGAGTTAATAATGACATTATTATTTTTGGTACGTTGGCTATGTTACATGTAAACAACTTATCAATAAACTGATAAATAATAGTACTTTATCTCACCGCCATGTCTGAACAACATACTCATATTCCTATCATGTTACGCTCGGCACTAAAGCAATCATCTCAGCCGGGCTCACCCTGTTTGCTCCCGTTATCCTCCATGCCGTCGTCGCCACTGTTGTCCCCCCTTCCTTCGTCGTTCCTCACCCTACCAGCCTCGACATCGCGACTGCCACCCCTCTCGTCCTCTTCAACACCGCTCTCGCGGTCTCCATCAGTGAACATGCAGAACACCGCTCAATCTGTCGCAGGACAAGGTTACACGCCAAAAGTATCGTTCGATACATTCGAAAACCCCGCCGCTTCCATGTTCTCATTCACCCTCCATGTGCAGTCAGATGGATACGCTAGGAACAGAGCGACGAGGGTATTTCTTTGTGCGTCGAGTCCAGATGAGAGCGGACGTTACGCCCTTGACTGGGCACTGGAAAGTTTGGTGCAGGACGGGGATGAGTTGATCGTCTTCAGAGGGGTCGATCCAGAGGATTTAGGTATGTGGCTCATACTATCTGGGCTTCTGTGAATGTTAAACCACAACTTAGAGAAGGATCATGAACTCGCGCGGGAAGAAGCTCGTGAACTCATGCGCCAGATTCAGGAGAAATGTATCGAGTATGATCCAGAGCGGAAGGTAGGCGGTCGTTATCATTACGGCATGACTTCTCATTGTGTCTTATCGTAGCTCTCCATCATCGTCGAGCTTATTGCTGGCAAAGTTACTACAACGCTCGAGCGGTTAATTGCTCTGTACCGCCCAGACTCGATCGTAGTGGGCACGAGAGGCCAGCGCGGCATGATGCAAGCCTGGGGTGCGGCGTTCGGCGCGCCAGGTGTGGGCAGCGTATCAAAGTATTGTCTCTCGAATTCCCCCGTACCTATCATCGTCGTTCGCCCGGAGAGAAAGGTCAGAAAAGTACTCGCCAAGAGACGAGCCGATCCAAAAAGAGGCACTCATTTTGACGAGTAAGTAGATCTTCATATGCTGCGATGCCCACTCATACGATCCCTCGAATAACAGACTTACGAGGGCGAAGACGCAGAACATACATAGTATTCCGATGTCTCCCTCTGTCACACGAGCGTGATATATTTCACTTGTGTATTTTTTCTGCGAAAGCTGTATACATTGACCCTGTACCCATAGTTACCCTGTATTTCTAAGACCTGAATGGAAGCCTGCCTTCTGCTGAATATGTAGTTCACCTCCATATATCACCGGAGAAGTCATGCTCAGTCTCTGACAGCGTTAAAACCCCAGTCGCCGACTTCTTGACAGACACAACAGAGACGGTTGCAATGAACTGTAGCCATTATTGAGTAAATGACATCTGTCTCATGAGCCTGGCACTGATGTCCGTCCCAGTCTTCTTTTGTGATTAGACTATTCGCCTGCTACCCAGTGTGATAAAAGTCATTGTACACATTGGAATAGAATTGGCTAGGCGAGACTAGTGCAAGCACTGCATTTTTGATGCCTGAATGAGGTCCGTCTCCTGCTCAACAGATGTGTGGTTCAAATCGATGGCCACTGGACTCGGAGAAGCTCCGAGTCTTGGTTGGATCTACATAAATGACACTCACTATCTATGTAACGTTAGAACTGCGCCAGTCGCCGACTTCCCAACAGACAAAACTGCACTCCAATTGTAAGTTAGTATGCCCATTGCAAGGCAAGTAAAGAATTACTGTAGCCATTCTGTGAGCAGGCGCGATAGCTAGGAATGCAATGCGACGTGCATAATAAATGTGCAATACTGACTACCGTCCTTCATGACCCCGAAACTTTATCGTCCCTTTGCGAAGCGTTCCGCTGCTC